AGAAATCAAAATAGTTAACAAGATTTTGTATACCTTGTTTCGATCATCATTCCCAGTGGAGCCTGCAGACAAGAAATCAGAAGAAACCTGAGGGTTGGAAAGACTTAGAAAAGATCACCCAGTGTAAAGATGTGTTACTGGAGAGCAAGATCAGGATCCTCCCCTCTCCTCCATTTCGAGTCACTGTGGAGGGAGGTGAAAGCTGGACAGCAAAGAAAGCTGACTGGGGGGGGGAAATTGGATTTGTTTGAAATGTGACGCTGGAGGAGAGCTTTCCAGATACCCTGGACGGCCAGAAGGACGAACAAGTTGGTCTTGGAGCAAATCTTCTCCCAGATTGACTACTGCAATGCACACTATGTGGGGCCTCCCTTGAGGCTGACCCGGAAACTACAGCAGGACCAGAACACGGCAGCCAAAAGGGTTGCTGGAGTGAGCCAGTTCGATCACATAACTCCTCTTCTAGCTCACTTCCTCTGGTTACTGGTTGTGTCCCACGTCAGGTTCAAGGTTTTGGTCCTTAGTTTATAAAGCCCTCCTTGGTTTGGAACCCTGTTCCCTGTCGGAGCGTCTTTCCCTGAGGTCATCTGCCCGATTCACCAGATCCTCCGAGGCTAGCCTCCCCTGGGTGGCCATCCCGAGGGAGGCCCAGACATCATCTCCGAGAGGTTGGGCCTTCTTTGCCGTGGCACCCTCTCTCTGGAGCCAGCTCCCGGGCGGAGCTGCACGTGGCCTCTTCCCTCCCCAAGTTTAGGAGGCATCTCAAAATCTTGTTTTTTAGAGATGCCTTCAAAGCAACCCCACCCATGCCTCATGTACCACCTCTTCCAGGATAATACACCTCTTGTTTTGTTTTTTAATATTTTTTTTACCATTTATTAAATATCTTATTGTTTTTGTATGTGTTTTATTTTATCATGCTTTAAACCGCCCAGAAGAGTGTATTGCACTAATGGGGTGGTATAAAAAATAAAATCAAATAGAAGAAGACCAAATAGAGATGGACCAAGTACACAGTACAGAAGGCTTTGAGTTGCCAACTATTCATGCCGAAAACGCAAGAGGGCAGCAAAGGAAAATATAAAGAATAAACAGAAGCTTTCTGTAAAGAAAGACGAGGGAGACCTTTTTAATAAACACAAACTAACAAATAGAATAATTCTATTAATGGGAAAAACCTGTAGCAATACAGTTGCACATGAATTTTACTGTTCTTTTCTGCAACATAAATAACTGAAGTGGTAATAGGACATTTGTCGTACCTTAACAGTTTGTGTCCCGTTATTTGCTGGAAACCATGGCTAAGAACAAGGCCAGTGGAGGTGCTTTCCTATACTTTGGAACGGTTAAAATATTCACGTAGCTTGCCAGTTAAAAAGCTTGGCCACTGTGTCTAAATCCAGGAGAGGCGATAGCTGCACTTAATGACCTCTCTTAAGTGAATGTCTATATTTATGTCTCCCTTGACACTGCCATCATTTGTGTTTTTAATTATTTGTTTGTTTTATTTTTGGGGGGGTGTTTCGTCCTGGTTTGATGTTGGGTTGATCAATTATTTTCTTTATTGGAAACACCTACCACCCCCCAAGTAGTGATTTTCACTAATTTGGGCAGCCTATATATGAATGAATGAATGAATGAATGAATGAATGAATGAATGAATGAATGAATGAATGAATGAATGAATGAATGAATGAATGAATGAATGAATGAAACTGAGCCAACGTTGCTCTTACTTGCAGGGTGATTGACAGGAAGTAAATAATGAGTCCTTGTTGAGGGACCCCTGGGCATTTCACCCGGAGGGTTTGACGTTCCTCTGCTGGGTAAGCCAACTACCACCAGCTAGGAATCCTTGCTCGATCCAGGAGAATATTTTCAGTCTTCCTCCTAGCCAGATGCTGGGTTTACCAGGTCCGTCACTTCCCACTCCCTGAGATTTCAAGGCCGGGGGGGGGAAGGCAGGTCCTCCTGCTACCACGTCAAGGGGTCCCTTCTGTAAGGATTGCAAAACGGCGTGTGAACGCCTGTGTGCATAGGGAGACTGAGTGGATTTCCTGCCCTGCCTCCTAAGCAAATATTATGGGCACGGCACAGAAGACAAACACCTTCCGGCTCAGCCAGTGAGCCTGGGTGCCAGCTGCGAGTGCGAAGGAGGGGAGTGGCCAGGCATCAAAGCCACACGCAACCAAAAAAAAAATCAATATTTTTTTTCTCTCCTGGAGGCGTGTCCCTTCTTGGGCACCTGGAGAGGCCTTAGTGATTCCCAAGTCTTCAGAAGGTCCTCTAAGACCTGGGAACCCCCAACCAGGTCATATCCCTGTCATTTTCTTTATTTTTCAATGGATCCTGGTGTATTCATGACAATTGACTCCTATCTCTGGAGGTGAACAGTCCTTCCTTCCTTCCTTCCATCCATCTATCCATCACCTCCTTCCTTGCTTGCTTGCTTGCTTGCTTGCTTGCTTGCTTGCTTCCTTCCTTCTTCTACCCATCATCAACCTTCCTTCCTTCTTTTACCCATCATCAACCTACCTACCTTCCTTCCTTCCTTCTTCTACTCATCATCATCCTTCCTTCCTTCCTTCCTTCCTTCCTTCCTTCCTTCCTTCCTTCCTCCCTCCCTCCCTCCCTCCCTTCCTTCCTTCC